AATTAAAACATCTCCCTCTCCGTTTGTGAAAACACATTCACAGCATAGTCCTGGGACCCTTCTCAGGCAAAATGAGTCAGAATCTCTGGAAGGCGAGGCTTAGGCCTCAGGTCTTTTCTGAAGCTGATCAAATGATTCTGAATGCAGCAATGGTGAGCACAAGGGTGCCTCTAGTCGTGCAATAAAATATTAACCATGCGCACACACACTTCCTTACAGAGTATGACGCGTTACACAATGGAGTATATTGATATGGAATTTTTTAGGAGTTACTTTCTAAGTCAAATACAGAATGCCAGTAATAAAGGCTTTAAGAGCTATTTTATTACCTTCACTAGCAATGCCTTACCTCTCTGTGAGTGCTAGGGCTAACTAGCGGAAAAAAAAAAATCAATCATTAAGAAAACCCCTGAAATTTTTGTGACATTCTACTTGTCTTCTAGATGTTGTACCTCTGGGACATGTATAGATGAGGTAACACTGGGTACTGTTTATTGATGCTTAAATACAGAAAATAATCCAGGTATCTTTGAAGCTACAGGGAGACAAGAAAGGGCCACACTTCAGTGCCGGTCACATAGGCTTTGTTTCTTTTCTACCCCTGACAGGACGTTAAACACCTGTAACAGTACATAAACCCCACGCAATGATTTAGCACTAAAATGTAAAGTCTTTAAAATTAAATACATTCATTTGAATGGCTTCTGTGTGGTTGCATGAGACGCATGCTTGTTGAAATAAAACATGTAGAGCATCGCTTGATGAAAGTTAAGTATCGCACGGGTTTTTTTTATATGAGAAACCCAAATTATAAATAAAGACCAAAACAAAAGACAATAGGATGTAGGGAGACAGAACTTTCTCAAGGGAAAAGGAGATGACGTGGGGGTGGGGTGGGGGATGGAAGCGGCCTTAAAATGTGTTGTACGCATGTGCCAACTCCAAACACCGCATGTTATCATTACTTACTGAACACGAGGGCTGATAAAATGTTTTAAAAATTGACAGGCAAAGAAAAGAAAGTGAACATTTGAACTGATGAGCTGCTTAAGGAGCAGCAGCGCCAAGGTAGGTGTCAGCTCCACAGGAACCAGCAGCGCTTTAAATAGGCAAGGCCGCATTCCTGATTCATCATCTCTATGTGTGTAATTGCAGCTGTGTGGGTTTGTGCAGAGGGTGGGCCTTCTATTATTAGCGCACAACTCACGGGAAGCACAGATTGAAGCGCTAAGCCCAGCCGCTGTGTGTTTCTTTCCACCCGCAGTTCTGGATCTAAAAGAAATCCCAGGTAGAAGGCATTGTTTGTGATAAATCTACTTGTTTCATGAGTGAGTCAGCCGTTCATAACCTTCCCTCAACATTCAAGCAGATATGGGTTTTTCAATACGTTAGAATTCTTTTTAAGAAAAGTCCTTCCAATTATCAGGTTAATCAATGACAAAATATAACTCACTGGTCAATGGGCTTTTTTCTTTGTCAGTGGACTTTGGAACTTCCTCAGTTCTTGTTTTCTCATACCTCTTTAATTATATACTGGAAAAAGTAAGAGAACTTTTCTTTCTGAGTTCTTAAACCAACTGAAGAATGGATTAGCTGAGGGTGGAGGGGAAGATTTTCTTTTTCTAAACCTGGAACAGAGATAACTAACAAAGGGTATCATTACATTCAATATGTACTTGCTCTTTTTCCTTATTTGGTCTCTAACCAAATTAGAAGTTCTTTGGGTGCAGGGCACAAGTTTTCTGGGACATGGGCCAGGTAGCATGTGCCTGTAATCCCAACTACTTGGGAGACTGGGGGACTGGGATACAAGTTGATTACAAGTTCAAGGCCAGCCTGGGCAATGTAGCAAGATCATGTGTCATAATAGAGATTAAAAGGGGCGGGAAATGTATCTGAGTGGTAGAGTGATTGCCAGGCATGCCTGAGACCCTGGATTCAATCTCCAGAAGCACACACACAAAAAAACAAAAGAAGGAAGGAAAGGAAGGAAAGGGAAAGAAATTCTTAGGTCCAGGGTTGTACTTGTATATTTATATAACAATGCTGTTATGGAGAAATTCAATAAGTAGTTGATTTGGGTTAGAATTAGAAAAGTCACTGTCCTGAAATATATGGAGAAATACATATGGAGAAATATAGTGTGCAAAAATTTTCTTGGAAATGTGTTTTGTCTTTATGTTATAAGACTTTAATTTCCCATATAATGAAACATTGCCATAAAAGCCTATAAATTTTTCCTTCAAATGGAACTTGCTAAGAAGGTCCCACCTGGTGTACATATGGCTAAATTTTACAATATATTCAATCTTTTTCAAGAAGTAGCGCCTGGGGGCTGGGGATTTAGCTCAATGGCAAAAGCGCCTGCCTGGCAAGTGCAAGGTCATGAGTTCGGTTCCCGGCACCGGAGAAAAACCAAAAAAAAAAAAAAAAAAAGAAGTAGCGCCTGATAGAAGAGAATTCATGCTTAAGGTTTCATGTTTTGAATATTAAATTTAACCACATGTGTTGAATCCTTCATACTTCCTATTTTTCAGGGCTTTAATTCCTTTTCTATGTGCATGTTGTTCTTGCCCATGGGTATATGTGCTTGTGTGTGCATGTCCCTGTGTGTGTGTGTGTGTGTGTGTGTGTGTGTGTGTGCAATCCAGCACACCAAGCCACCCTCTGGCTTATTGTGCCTTGTCACAGAAAAGCAGCTCAATCCCGTGTTCTCTCTGTGGTCCTCCTAAGAACTAACAAATAAATGACTTAAAACACTTTGCATTATGTGAGAACTCACTAATGGCAGACTCGCTGTGCTGTTCAAGCTTAGCTTGTTAGTTGGAAAAGCAGGGGGCCTGGGGATTTAGTTCAGCGGCACAGTACCTGCCCAGCAAGCACAAGGTCATGAGTTCGATTCCCGGTACCGGAAAAAAAACAAAACAAAAAAAAGGAAAAGCACAAATCTCCTAACAAATCCTAGGTTTCACAAGTGCATGTCTGGTGCAGCTCCTGGGCAGGGTTGGCCTCAGGATTCAGGCCTGGTTTCTGAGGGAGCCTCTTTCCAGGTGGAAGGTGATGTACGCTGCCCTCCTCAACAGTCCCGAGGGGTTCCTGTGTATGTGGAATGTGGAATGTTCCAGAACACATCCCTGCAAAACCACCATGAACTTAGTACCAATGTACAAGGAACACATTTTACTAATCCCAGGAGAGACCAATACATTGTAGGAGGGTATGGTATAGGCGTGTTTCCTCTGTCCTGATACTTAGGTTGCCTGCACCCTTAGAAAGAAGGAAAAGGCTGGTTTGGCTGTCTTACAGTCATTGGTTAGCCTGGAAAATTCTACTGGGCTTGATTGTTTCCTTTCAGAACTGTTCTCTCTTCAAATATGGTTTGTGCCTTTAAGGGGAAATATGATTGCGCTTCATGCTATGTATACATATATTTAAATGAGCGATTAATGAAAATTGTTCTCAATTATTTAAAAAAAAAAAGGATACAGTCCTATTTTGCGGAGGCAGAGCGAACCTTCCCTGATGTGTCATGGCGCAGTCACTCTTGGAAAGCTTTGGCTCGAAAATTGAGTAAACAGAGAGCCTTACTGGAGCGGTTTCTTCACACCGTGTAAAATGGGCCCTTGGAAGGGCACACCGTTGTGGAAAATTTGGAGAGCGGCGCTGGGATGTTTTCGCCGTGATGATGCGCCCGTTCGCCCTGGGCACCCCACGGCGGAGAAGGCCTCCCCACGTGTCCATGCCGCGCATAGCGCGAGCTGGCTGCCAGCTGTCACCGGCGACCCCGCCTCGCCCTCTCCTGGGCAGGGGCAGCCCCGGCTTAGGCAGAGGCTGGAGCCTTCCTCCTGCCACTCCCTCCCGGCCCGGGTCACCGGCAGGATAAGGAACCTCTTCCGGCTGACCTCATTACTTCAAATTCTGCTTTCCTTCCCCAGATGTGAACTGTTCCCTCCAAGATCCAGTCTGTAGGACCAAAGCCATTGGACCCCAGCACTCGGGTGCTCCCCCCAGGGCTCCTTGAACCTGTGGCCGGCGGCAGCGCTGCAGAGAAGTAAGCAAGGCCTGGCTTCCTATTCTTCTGCAGATCCAGGGCCGCGCTGGGGACCGCACCTGCCCAGAACCCACTGCCCCGGCCTCTGAGGCCCTGCCCCGGTGTTGTCATCCCTGATCTACACAGGAGCGGCCCAGGGAGACCAGGGACCTCGCCGAGGGTCCGCACAGGGCGAAGCTGGGTTCCAGCCCGGTGGTTCTGACATTAACCTTGGCGTAAGGGAGAGAAAGCCAAACAGTGACAATCATTTTAGTGTCTAAGGACAATTAGAAAGAGAAGGTAGAAGTTAATCGCTTCCACTTTCTACCCCGATCTGTCTGACTGCGGGACGGGCTCAGCCTCCGCAGGCCCTCTAGGGAGGAGGCAGAGCGCGCTGGGGCACAGGGTCGAGCGAGGCAGGGCTGCACCCCGGGACGGCTGTGCTGTACGGTTCCCAGGCGCAGGCCCGGGCCTGGACCCCCGCGTCCGTGCAGCCGCGGACCAGGAGCGCCGCAAGGCCTGGGGACCACCGGGACCCGCGTGGGTCTAAGGAAGCGCAGCCCACGGAGGACGTGGAATCTGGACCAGGCCAGCAGCTCCCACGGGACAGGAAGGGGACACAGCCCGGGCGCCGGAGGTTTCCGGGGAGCAAGGGGCGAGGGGCGCTGGAGGCCTGCCGGGGCTCGGCCGACTCAAAACCCGGAGCCCGCTGGACTGGGGCCGACAGTGACGCGCACCCGGCTCTCTAAGTCGGGAGAGGGCCGCGCAGTGACGCCTGTCGCCCTGGCGACCCCGGCCGCCCACGGCGCGGGTGATCCCAGAGGCCACGGGCCTCTGTCCCCGCGCCCACCTCCTCCCGCGGAGGCCGAGGCCGCGATGGAAAAGTTTGGGGAGGAGCCGCGAGTCAGGAGGACGTTTACATTCCTCGGCCACTGCTCTCAGGTGCCTGGACAGGGAGGAGGACATCCGGATGGTACCTGGCTGCCACTCCTCCCGGGGGCTGGGGTTACGAAACTCCGGGCAGTTTGCCCCCGTCCCAGGCCCCTCCCCAGACTTATAAAGGTCGTGGCGCCGGGCAGTGGGGCTCACTTGCCTGGCAGGTCCGGTGTCAGAGGGACTCTGCGAACGCGTAGCCCCAGGCTCTCTGCTGAAGCTCCGTGCCTCTCCCTGGGCGGTCCGCTTGCGCAGTGAGCAGCCCGAGCAGCCGCGCTTCGCCACCCATCGCAGCTAGCAGGATGGAGATGCTTCCCGCGGGCCCGGCCCGGGCGCTGCTGCTCTGCCTGGGTAAGCCTCGCAGTCCCCCCCGCAGGAGAGGAGACAGCACTGCCCTGGGCCTGTGTCCCGAGACATGTGCGGAGCTGTCCAGAGTCAGCGCGTGCCCGCCAAAGATGCTCTGAGTGTCTGTCCCTGCCGGCAGGCTGGGGGCGCGAGGGGTGCCAGGACGCACACAGCTCCCGGGGCTGCGCTGATGACTCGTGCTTATGTCATGTTGATTAATACGGCTTCCTGTTGGGCGAAATAAACTTGAAAACTGTTGCTTTTTTCTTTTGAGTGTTTGCCAGACCTGGAAGCCCCAGGGCAGGGGCAGGGCTGGTGCCGGCGCTGGGTTCCTTCTCGGTGGGGCGGAGGGTGAGACCTTTGAAGAGCCTCCGTCCCGGGCTGTCTGGGCGCTGGGTCCCCACGCGGGTCCCCGAGCGCGTCCCGCGGCCCGGGGGTTTATTCCTGGGGTTCACTGGGCAGGCGCTCGCTGCCGCGGCCGTTCCGTGCCTCTCCGGCTAGAGAGGACATCCGCGAGCCGCGGCTGTGCGCAAAGGTTTTCACGCGGCTGTTGCAGTCAGGGACTCCGGGTTCTCAGGCGGCTTCCTGCGGAGGTTGGGGCGATCGGGGCTCCCAGCAGGGGCGACAGGGACCCTGTGCACAGCTCGACCCCGTTGGGTGCCCACTGGCGCCCCCTAGAGCAGCCGGAGCCCAGCCTGCATCCCAGGCTCCCGGCGAGGCTGAGGCAGGAAAGACCTGCTGAAGTTTCTCGGGAAAGTCTACGGCTGTCTGTGGTTTGTTCTGAGGTCGCGTAAGAAGAACGAGACAGAGGGGCCAGTCTCCGAGTGGCGGCCGTGCCCTGGGGTCGCCCGTGGGCCGCTGTCCCCAGCCGGCAGCGCAGGGCCCCCTGGCGTCCGCGAGGACTCCGCGGAGCCGCTGCCCGGGGGTAACCCGGGCGCCGCCAGCCGGGCCGCGCTGTTTTTGTTGTCATGAAAGTGCTTACCTCCCTGATTGCGTTGCTTAATTACAGCTCGCGGATTTCATCAGCCGCCTAGCCCGTTCCCAAATGCGCTGGGTCAGTTTCTGTTTTCCCAGTCTGTTCGGATGTTTCTCTACCCAGGGAAGCAGCTCCTGCTGGAGCTGGGCAGCAGTCCGCGCCTTCTGTGGGGGTACGGGGCTGTCACCCCCAAGCGGCAGAAAAAGCAAGGCCACCTGCTACTTTTGTTGTTGTTGCTGTTGTTTTTTGGGTTTTTTTTTTTTTTTTTTTTTTTTTTTTGAGACAGTGTCTGACTGTGGAGTGCAGGCTGACCTTGATCTCACTATGTAGCCCAGGCTGGCTACTTGGGGATGATCCTCCTGCCTCAGCCTCCCCGGTGTTGGGATTGCAAGCGTGTGCCACCCCGCCCAGTTTACTTGCTACCTCTGAAGGTGTCCTTTTCCCCTGAACAAAAATTATGAGAAGTCTTTCCCCAAGTCTGTCTTTCAGAAGGAGGAGAAATTTATTTTGGACCTCAACATATGTCTTATCGTTACCTTTTGTGGAAGTTACGGAGTTTTATACACGTAGTGATGATAAGGAAGAAGTTCTCTAGCCTTTGCTGCGTGCACATTTAAACTGCTGCACGCTGCGACCGTCATTTGATTGCTTGTGCATTTTATAAATGTCCGATAGTGCTGTCTTGTTTTATAAATCGGGAGACTGATCCCAAGCTACCATTTTCCTGAACAAGCTCTACTTTTCAAGCTCAATTATCCTTTCTAGTTTCGAGATCGGTCCAGATCGCAGAGGACAATTTTATCTTGAGGTTTGGAGTTCCGTTAGGGAGATCTTAATCTCAACTCCAGCATCTTCCTCCGAGGTCGCACGGTCTGGAGCCCGCTCTGAGTGACAGCTGCTGTGCTGTCTGGGCTGACTTCAGTCTAGGGAAAGTGGGAAGCTCTGAGCTTCGTGAGCCGGGAACCGCTGGCTTCACGTCCGGTCTCCCGACCTCGGGCGTTTGTGAGCTACCCCAGCTCCCCCAAGCCGAGGTGGTAAATCCAGGCCAGACTGCGCCCTGCGCATGGTCGCTCCACGTGGACCGCTGGGACGCAGGTAGAGTCCAGCGCTGGGATTCCAGCCCTGGTCAGGGAGGCAGCTGGGAGCCTCCCCCACCTCTGCACAAGGCGGGGCCTTTGACTCCCTAAATAACACACCGAGGGCGAGCAGTCACCCCGCCTTGGACAGAGTCAGAACCTGGAAGGAGTACAGAAGGAAGTTCAAGGCCAGCCTTTAGGAATGTGTGGGGAGCCTGGGTGTCAGGCTTGGGGCAGGGGAACGGAAGTCACAGGGGCCAAGGGGCGGGTCCCCAGGGGCCACCCTGGGGGGTGCGTGATGTGAGGTGGGTTCCCCACCGTTCTCCCAGAAGCAGGCACAGACAACATGGGACCGCACCCTCATCTTGGGCTGAAAAATGCTGACTTGTTTCCTCGCCATCATACTTTTTATCAGCACAACTCTGGGACATGACGCTCATTGTAAAATAGTCACTGAAGTCAGTTGACTAGGGCCACGACGTTTATATTTCCCAAGGGTATATTAAGGGAAGTCATGAAGGAGAAGGATACCGCGTGTCTTCTTTATTCCTTGGATCTTGCTTAATAATTGTAAACTGCACATAGCGTTGCTAAGGCAACAAGCTGACAGAAACTGACGACCCATCCCTATTGGCAGTGAGAAAGCAGACTTATTTCCTCCCTGTAAGAAGCCAGGGAAGCTTACATGTAAGATGTAAGAAGCTTACATCCTCCCTGTAAAACGCTGTGCTCACAGCATCACTGGGAAAAAACTGAACTCGGACGTTTTCCAGCGATGATGCAAAATCATCTTGTTTCCTGCTAAGAGATGCAGATGCCAAGAGAACGTTCTTTGCCAGGACACTACAAATGAGGATGTGGGCTGCTCTGCAGGGTCTTCTGCGCCTTCGCCGCGCAGGCCGTGTGGTCACAGGGCCGAAACCCCTACCCCATCCCAGGCCCGCGGGAGACCCGGGAAGGCTGCCAGGCTGCGAGGACTCTGCACCTGGGGAAAGGTGGGAGGGAGACCGACATGGTGGCCTGTGGCGATGCCGTTTGCGGAAGACTGGGCGTCTCCCACAGAGCAGATATATCTTCAGTGGCATTCCAGGCTAGAGCAATGAGTTCATTAACTAGGAGTCTCGGGATGAGTTCATATTTGTCCAGAAAAATAAATCTCTTATTTGAGTCTGTATTCCGTGGCTTACCGACCAAATCTCCACTGTGTGTGTGTGTGTGTGTGTGTGTGTGTGTGTGTAAAGAAGGATGTGGGAAACAGAGAGGGAGAAATAGGTCTCGATATGAATGAAAGATGGGCAGAGAGCCGGGCGTGGTGGCACACGACTGTAATCCCAGCACCTGGGAGGCTGAGGCAGGAAGATCATTGCAAGTGTGAGACCAGCCTGGGCTACAAAGTGAGCTCAAGGCCAGCCTGAACGGCATATCGACACCCTGTCTCAAAAAGACAAAAAAAAAAAAAGATGGGCACAGAGTATTGTTTTAGAGATGAGAGGAACCTTTGGTCGTCTGAGGGTCTCCTCTATCTCCAGCCTGCCGCACTCCCTGGTCTGTTTTCAGGCAAGACACCGGGAAACTTGATCCAGAGGTGTAAGCGAACTTCAGCATCAGAAGTAGAGCTGGGCTCCTGCGCATGCGTCTGTGCGGGGTTTCTGAGCCTTGCCCGGGCTGGTTGCGGCTGTGACCGCCACCGCTGTGTGGTGCAAACCGTTAGCGTCGGCCTGGTCTCTGCCCACCAGGCGTCAGTCAGCCGCAGCCTCCGGCTGTGCCAACCAGCGCCATCCCAGACACTGCCCCACACCCTTGGCTGCCTGCGTTGCTCCGGGCTGAGAATCACTAACCTAATGTGGGTTTTAAATCGTCATAACTTACTGCCGTCTATAATCCTGAGCTTTAATAATTAGTGCTTGAGTTCCCAAGACAAATAAAATAAATAATAGTAACGGTAAGCTGGTACAAACAGAAGACCAGGTCTAGCGTGGCTTAGATAGACGCTTGTCTGTCTGATAGACAAGATAAGGCGCTTATCTAGAATGGAGGCCTGGGTTTGATGCCCAGAAGCACACACACACACACACACACGCACACACACACACCACACACACACATGAACCCACATGCACGTGCACACACACACACACACACACACACACACACACATCCACCTCAGGTTGGTGACTTTTATTGCTGATCATAACACCAGGTTATGATGGTGTTATTAGAGCTTTTCTCAGTCACGGTTTCTGGCCCATCCAAGCCCCCATAGGCCTCCACTTTCTGGGCTCTCACAGGAAACTTTCTTTTCCCTCCTAAGTCTTTCTGTTCCCTGGGCCATCCCCCTCTACTCTCCGCTACCTGTTTGCCCAAATCCTGCTCTCTCTCCCATCCCGTTTCTTGCTGGGCCATGTGAATCCTCCGTTCCTCAAGTGAATTCCCTCCTGGGACCTTCAGGGAGGGCTCAGCACTGGCCTTCTCGCTCCGGCCCTCTGACCTGCACACTGGACACTCACAGAGCACACAGCTGACTCAGGAGTGTGTCACTCATGCTGGCCCTTTGTGGCTTCCTCCCTGCATGTCCTCTTGCCTCAGCATCCAGGGTCACTGCAGACCACCTGCCGGCCTGCCTGTGTCTTCTGCTCACAGCATCGTCCTCCTTGGTGCTTTCCAGCCCAGTGCTAGCACGGTCTGTGAATTCTCTCCTTTCTGCACTGCCCTGAGCCTGCTCCACAGGGTCTGTGGAGGGCAGGAGGCGCCCCCTTTCTGCCAGCTTTCCTTGGAGCATCTTGTTCAGCATCTTCCACACAGAAAAGGCTCCCCAGAGACTTAGGGGAGAAAGAATCATCGGACGCATGTAGGAAAACCAGCCAAGCTGACCTCCTTGTCCTTTCCGGTCACCAGCTGTAAGGAAGCCCTTCTCTCCCTGCAGGCCTGCTGTGGACGCCCGTGCGTGTCCGAGGTCCTGCTCCCTGGTGCTCCCCACACCTGTGTGTTCACGAAGGAAAATTCCTTGCAGTGTGTGAGTGGTGCTGTGCAAGTTCTCTGAGGAACAGTGAGCTTCAGACTTTTAAAAACGGTCTTTTGTGCCCTCACTTTCTCCTCTTTTTTATGCTTGCTGATTAAAACTTTACCCTTTTGAAAATTTGTGTTTGGCAACAGGCCTCTACAGCAAAAGCAAAATAGTCAATATCCTTCTTAAAATGCCAGGAAATGTTCTAAGGTCCGGGCCACAACATGACCGTTAAGGAAAAAAAGGAAAAGGCCGACACTCACAGTCAAAACCCTGCTCCTTGATGAGGTTTTCCTTTGCAACGGCAGTGAGGTATGGCTGGAAGGTTCTCACTTGGAGACACAGGGAAGAAGGAAGTGGGTAAAACACAGAATATTATTTTAACGAAGCCCCTCCCATGTCAAAGGATGAGGAAAACATACTTCCAACAGAATTGAAGTGGTGTTCCAGAAATGAATCTACAGCTTTTAGGGGAGGCATGCCTCATCTTAAGAACTCTTAGTCACAAAATTTCAAAACCCCCAGATTAATAGGAAGTGTACCCTTGACCCGAGCGTTAGTATACATTCTTTTGCATTGTGAAAACACTACTGTTATAACAGAGATAAACCTCTTGACGTCCATGTTCTAGGTAAAATAGTGATTCTCATACTTTGACTCACTAATCCTTGGTTTGACTAGCACTAAGATATATGAGGACTTGGAAGTATGGTTTAGAAATTGTTGCCAAAATCATAGAATATAATTTAATATAATTTAGTGTCAGTTGAAAAACTGTCAAGGAAGAGCTGATGGCTATCTTTTAAAACTTAAAATTAATAGAAGCACCTCTTTGTAACCTTGCTATAACAACCTCTGGTGCCATGCTGTTTTAATCTCAATGAGTTACAGTCAGTTTTTATATTTAGTTTTCATGAAGCTTAATTGTAAGGTTAGCAATAAAAATTTTGTGGAAGGATTGTTAGTGGAAGACAAGGTTAATTTTCTATACATTTATAAATATATATTTTTCTCTGAGAAGTAGGCTGTTACTAGAAATTACTGATAATAGAGCTTTTCAGTATCTGATTACAGTTTAAAGATTTTTTTAAAAAGCAAGATAAAGCAGGACTATTTAACAGAGAAATTTAATATAAAATGACCCTCCCAGTGGGAGAGATTTCATATATATATGTGTGTGTGTGTGTGTGTGTGTGTGTGTGTGTGTGTGCAAGGCCTAGCAAACCCATGGTGTCACAGACAAACCCTGAAATTATCTACTGCTGAGGAAAAAGTTCAGAAACTAACAGTCCCTGGGTGGCTGGCATGGGACCACAGCAAAAGGGTGAACAAAGCAGATTTTGGTACCTGTTTGAGCTGGGCAAATGCTATGATTCACCATAAGCTTGCTGTTCTGGTCAAAATAGTCAAAAGATATAATTGGAAAAATAAGGTGTGTATACCTTTTATTCTATAACATCGTTTTATCCTGGATCATTTTTATTTGCTTGGTTGCTTTCCAGAGAAACCACTGGATCTCTGAGAATTTCAGCAGAACTCAGTTTGTGGTTGTTGTATATGGTTTTTCAAGGAGTTCAGGTTGACTTAGGTGGTGATCCTCCTGCCTCAGCCTTTTGAGTGAGGGTGTTACAAGTGTGTACAGCTGAGGCTGGCTTCAGCTTGCTGTCTTGGCTTGGTCAGCCAGTCACCAAATCACAGCCTCCCCTGGTCGGTCTCCTGCGTGGACCCCTTGGTGTCACCAAGAATCCATGAGCAATGACAAGCACGTTCCCCTGCCTGGCCTCGCGCCTGGCTACAGTGTTGGGCAATCACTGCTAAGTGCTCCAGGCGTAGCACGCTTAGTGCTTTCCCCACTCTGGGGATGGCGCTGCGCCTCTCCCATGCACAGGCGCAAGGTCCCCGAAGTTGTGTAAGGCGAGGTTCGGCCTGACTCACAGGGAAGAGGCAGTTTGCATCCTGTGAGTCAGTGGCTCCACTTCCTGCTGGCACACTGAGATTTCACTGAGATGGGGCGCCCCCAGGGGAAGGTAGATGTGACGGGTGAAGGCCGCAGTCCTGCAGCCCCATGACACGTGACGGAGACCTCAGCCAAGGGCTTTGGATCTTCTTGTCCGCGTTGAAGCAGAAACCTTCACTGCACGTGAGTGGTGGCCACACGTGCAGCCCTGTGCTGAGTTCCTCTGTTCCTCTGTTCCTGTGATTGTGAGGGTCAAACTTGTCACCAGACTCATTTTGTACCGAGACACCATTCAAAATCTTCAGTGTCACAGTAAGTTATTTTTTAGCAGGGGTCCATGGTACAGAATCAAAAACTCAAATATAATATTTGAAACTGAGTTACAGAGAGATTCTTACATGCAAAGAACACTAAAACATGAAAAATGTTAGTCCTAATGAACCACTCGGGCAGGACTGTAGCCTTTATTCCTTCCATCTATTGTTAAAGAACAATGATTTCAAGGCTGCTGGATGGTGGATGTCATAACCCTCTGTGGCTGGGCATTTCGGTCTTCTGGTCACCCCCGCTCAGCCTTCTACTCAACTTGGCGAGAACTTGGAACAGAGGCCAGAGCACGGGGACACTGGAAGCCACTGTTCTGAGGCAGGAGAGCTGTGCTTTGGGACACAACTTAAACCAACATTGCTGTTTCATTGGCTACACTTAAGATAAAGCCAGGTGATCACTCACTTTAATATGAGCAGGCGTCTGGAATTGTTTACAATTTCACCTGCGAAGTGCCCTGCTGTTGGACTTACGCAGCAAGTCTCGCAGAAACTGTCTCAAGTGGTGGACTGTGTCCAGGGCAGGTCCCAGGTCAGGGAAGCCCAGTTTCCACGGGGGCACACCCAGGGTTGAGTATTCTTTCCTTAACAAAGACATACAGTTCCCTGTTGCCTGAGCAACTGGGACAAAGTCTCTGACAGTGGAAACACAAACAGGTAAAAAAGAGAAGAAAGGGGAACAGACCAAGAAGCAACACTTGAAGACAAAAAGCCACAATCCATAGCCGTCACAGGAGGTTATAAGCAGCTCCGAGCAGGACTGGCTGCCTGACTTCCTGCAAAGGAGCCATCTGAACCCTGCTTGCAAACTGTGCCTCCTCCCGCTGCCCTGTCCTACAGGGAGATTTGGACATGGATTTCCTTTCCTGGGGAGAAGCCCAGAGGGATGAGGGATCAAGGATAGAAACAGGAGCAGCTGGAAGTCCAGGGCATACTGAGCAGACCAAGTTAAAGGATGTAATTTTTCAGTGAAGTACAAAGCAAAACCATAAAGATGATGTGGAAAGTAGTTTTCGTGTCTGTGTAACTGGCAATCAAATCTAAATTTTAGCTTTCTAGAAATCCTTTTAGAAATGACCTTGGGTGTGGTGTATGAAAGCTACTGAAGCAGTATTTATAATGTAGAGGAAAACTGGAGTAGTGGAAAAATAGTTCTTTAGTCTGCAAGGAAGCATTATCTTCAAATAATTGAAAGAGTAGGGGTTCGATGTTAGATTCTCAGACCTGTCATTTGCGGCAGCTAGATGAGTGTGATCACAGCAGATATTTAATTTAGATGCACTGAGTTTGTTTGGAGCTGAGAAGGACCTCACAGGGTTATTGTGTCAGGTTAGAAATGTGAAAACGTAAACTGTGATGGTGATGACTGTAATGTAATTTGGTTACTTTAAAAATTTTTTTGGAACTTGTTGTTTAGGACTGAAAGAATTAACAGTTTCCTTAATAAATGTAAGTCTCCTCTGATAAAGAAAATTAAATTAAAATCCCTTCTTTGCATGGATTAAATCATCCTTTAAAAAGACCAATTTAAAGCAATTTCTAATGTTTTCATACACCAGTAGAGGGCAGCACACCTATATCCTGCTGAAGCGAGGGACCAGAACCTGAGTATGTGAGAGGTCACGTATGGAAACGCTCCTGTCAGGTGTCCAGAGAAACATCAGTTCATCTCTAACTCCCCAACCCTTTGTAAGGTGGGGAAAATTGAGGCGCATTTGTAGATTTTAGCATCTGGGGGGGGCGTTTGGAATCAATTTCCCACAGATAAGAAGGGATAGCTGTGCTCAGGGTTACGCTGTACCAGTGAAAGTCTGTTTTCATGTGCAGCACAGTGCGAAAAGCAAATTAAGCACTTCACAAAGAAAGAATGAATCTCAAGTCAAGCTTCCTAGTTAGCTGTCAGTAAGTAGAACCTACCTTTTATTCAAAATCTGTGATGGGCCTGTGACAGAGCATTACCCCAAACACATCATGGAGTAAAGCAGTGGGGATTCTCTGCTGACCTCTGGAAATAGGACTTCAAAACCAGATCTCTGAAAAAGTTACTATGAAGCTTTTAGAGCAGGTGAAATCCTTAACCATGGATACAATGCCATGGCTTCTCCCCTTGAACAGACAAACGGAGGTTTCATTTATTTTCAGTTATATGCATATCTTCATGGATTATTTTCCTTTATGGTTTTTATGGATCAGATCCTTCAAACAAATAAAGTAGTTCAATAAGCAATGCATTTGGCTATTGATCAAAGGTTCTTTCCTTGAAAGATGAATTACATGTTTGGTTTTCCTTCACCATTAGGTTTTCATCTGCTACAGTCGGTTCTCAGCACAACTGTGATTCCATCCTGCATCCCGGGAGAATCTGACAGTAACTGCACGGCGTTAGGTAAGGCCAGCGAGGGGACACAGTTCAGCCAATGGCAGTGGGGACACGGGACCATGAAAGGAGGAGAGATGAGCCTCGGGGCAAAATTTTTAAACTATGAATTAACTAGGATTCTGGAAAGACTGCAAAAGAGCATAACTGATGGGACGGGGGCGGGGATCAGACACCTAATGAGTTATAAAGATTTAGTCATTTAAAAACAGGGAATAAGGAAAATCACATTTTGCTGCAAAACCATCGTTGGAGGGCGCACCAGAAGGCTGACTCCCAAGCAGAACAGGAAGATGGGAGCTTTGTGCACAGGAGGGTGTGTGTGCGCGTGTGTGTGCATGTGCCTGTGTGTGTCAGAGGACCGATGACGCCCCTTTAGTCATACTGTACACGCGCAGAGTATTGCACATGCACAAAACCCCATGTGAAGGTGCAAGGTGGAGGGATAAGCAGGGGGCCCCCTCCTCTCAAGACTGCAGGCCCTGGCTGTGGGCCAAGGAAGGTGCACTCTGTCTTCAGCCTGAGCTGTTGAGCCAGGGTGAGCTTGAAGAGAAGCGCTTGGTCCCGCACAGCTCTCCTCTCTCTGTCTGTCACCCTCAGGTCCTGCGGGTCGTGGCCTCCTTCCACCACCCTTTTCTGCTTGCTTTAGTTACCGGGGCCAGATCGTTGCAGTCAAGATCCTTTAAAATTAATTTCATAGACATCCTCTGCATTCCGGCAGCTAAAATATTTAACATTGTAGGTCACAATGCTGCCTCCAAGGAAACTCCTGTGTCCATTATTGCACATGCTTAAGAGGCAGTTCAGACCTAAGTCTGTGTAGGTCTCAGTCCGGTCTCCATGTAAGAAACTTTGGGAGACTTTGATTTCTTTGAGGATAAACTACACAATTTGGAAATACCCACCATAACAAGGCTTACTTGTGAAACACCTGTGGTAGAATTAACCTCTGTCTCCAAATTATTAATGGTTCCAGTTTGTTCTGGGGAGTAAACAAATTTAGAATTGCTCTGAGATGCGAAGAAAAATCACGCGGATTTTATTTACAGACACAGATTTTAATTAGAGATACAAACAGTACCTGTGGGGTAGAGCAACATGTGTGTGTTCTAAACTTCCCTTTCTGCGGTGAAGGTCCCTTTAAGAATGAAGGAGTTGAGTGTGGTTGTGTTTGGTGTAGTCTGTCAGGTAGAGTCCTCTGGGTTTAGGGGTATGTTTCTTGGTCTGCATGGTGTGATGCTGACATGACTCCCCTTCCTGAAAACTCTCCACCACTGACTGGTGTCCAACCTGTTCTGCTGGAGTCGCTCAGCGGCTCTTGCTGCGGGACGGGGAGTAATGGCCGCAGAGCCCAAGCAGACAGCAGAATGCATTGAACTCTCTGTTCCCTTCACAGTCCAGACGGAAGACAACCCGCGCGTGGCACAAGTGTCAATCACAAAGTGTGCCTCTGACATGCAGGGCTACTGTCTGCACGGGCAGTGCATCTACTTGGTGGACATGAGCGAGAATTACTGTAGGTGAGACTCAGAAGCGGACAGGGCTATGCCCACATCTCTCTCTCCTTTGCATGACTTGGAGTCACTCTATTTCCTTGGAGGGGGCAGAGTAGGGGGTACCAGATGCACCTCTCACTAGCTGGCCCACTTTAATCTCATCACCGCATTTCTCTGTCCATGCTTATGTAAGATTCAGACAAAAAGCACCTCATGCCTACAAAACTTACACCACGCTGGGTCAACCCATCATGGCGACCCCACGGGTCAGCGGAGAGCTCCCAAAGCACTTGGATCAATGCTAGCCTCATGCTAAGATCAATCTTTGAATTCAGCTTTATACCTTGTAGTGGATTTTGTTGGTTTCTTGCATTTTGGCATGAAGTTAAACTTACAAAACTAATTCATAACCGTGTTTCTTTCTTAAAATGATTTATTTTCTTCCCATGTTCCCATTTTTAGATGTGATGTGGGTTACACTGGCGTCCGATGTGAACACTTCTTCTTAACCGTCCACCAACCCTTGAGCAAAGAATATGTGGTTCTCACTGTAATTCTTGTCCTCTTATTTTTTGTCATCATTGCTGGGTCCATATACTATTTCTGCCGATGGTAAGCCAGTGCTATTGTATGTATGTATGTATGTATGTGTGTGTGTGTGTGTGTACGTATGTATGCATACATGTAATGTGAAACTGGGAATTAAACATGGGGCCTTTCCTCTGAGCTACAAACCCAGCCCTTTTCTTGCTTTTTAGTTTTTATTTTGACACAGGATCTCACTAAGTTGCTAAATGCCCAGGTTGGGATTGAACTTGCTGTCCTCCTGCCTCAGCCTCCCAGAGTGCTGGGATTATAGGCATGCACCACCACGCCTGGCTAAGCCAGTGGGCTTTTTTTAAAAAAAACTACTTTTACAAATTACTTTACACAACACAGACCCATAAACTGGGTAAAATGTGAACATAGTAATAGCAGGTGACATACAACCTGAACTGATGTCATTTACCTGATTTCAGCTGCAAATGATCTGGACTTGGTTTCATTATTATCTCTGCTGCTTATGACCCATGTAATTTTCTGAAAGTCAATCATGGAAGATCAGTCTCTTTCTCTATAAAATACAGGCCAAAGTTCTTACCTGACAGTACAAGGCGGTACATAGTACTACACATGTGTATACATGTAAGACACGGTGCTGCTGCTGTACTTAGATATTTGTATTTAATTTATTTGGTCAGGTTTTTCTTTCATAAAGCACAGTTTTGTAATGAATAATCTAAGAGACCCCCCATTTTTAAATTGAAGGGAGAGCTGTAGAAATGAGTTTTCCAGCAGTTATGAAACTTGAGTGGCTCACGCCAGTCATCTGGAACAGTCCCGGCCCATTCTCCGGTTGTCACAATAGTTGTCACAAGGTGACAGCTGAGAAAAGGAGGACTGCAGTTGCCATAGGGTAGCACCACACTGCAGGGACTGCGTGAATTAAATAGCTGCCTTGGGAATGTCTCTGCTTGGAGTCCCTCTCATTTTAAAACTAGTACAAATTTTTCAGTGATTTTTTCTTTCTCTGAAAGTAGTTCAGGCCTGAAGGTGTGCTGCTTTCACACAACGAAACTTATTTTGTCCATGTGTGATTCTAACATCCATCAAATAATACTTCTTTCCTTGCTATCATCACTGACTAAATATTATTCAGAGAAAAAGGAAGAGGGCAGGAGGAGCGGGAGGAAGTGAAGGAGGGAGGGAGGGTGAGAGAAGGGCAGGGAGAAATTCCCTCTTGGGATTTTGCAGCGTTCGCAATCCTGTGAAGTCTTTGAGAAGGACTTGCTCTGTGTTTTCCATTTCCATCCAAAGCAGTTTGACTGCAGCACATGCTTTTCACCCTTGTGTTTACAGAGCTCACTTTTATCGTGTGGTGCACATCGTGCTAAACATGTCCCTTACGAGTCCATACGTTGGTTTCTTTGATGAACATGCTTTGTTCTTGTTACTGCTGATTACGGTGCTAACACTTGCATTTCTCAATATTTCCAGGTACAAAAATCAAAAAAGCAAAGAGTCTAAGAAGGAGTACGAAAGAGTGACCTCGGCAGAACCAGCGTTGCCCCAAGTGTGAGGGCTCCTCCAGACCGGGCCAGCCGGCTTGCTCAGGGGCCTCCTTCACCTTCCTATTCCTATTTTATTAATAATATTTATGTTGGGTCATGCATTAGGTCAACAACTGTATATTTTTTTAAATATGCTTAGAAAGTGTTTTTATTTTTGTTTTATTTTTGACAGACTATACAGTGCTCAGGGCTGTGTCAGCAAGTGACAGATTTCCGAGAATCTAACCATGGACAAATCACTTTGACATGTAGAGTCTTCCTCCTCCTCCAAACAATGGAACCAGCTGGCCTGTGTTGTGGTCTGATACGTGTCAATGTTGGCACCCCTTTGTCAGGTGTTAAAAGTCATCAGTTAGGGCTAGGAGAAACAGATAAGCTCAGGTGCCACGTGTCACATCCCTGAAACAAACCCAGCCAGGCAGAATAACCCTTCACCCTGACCGGGGCCACCTGGAGAGGAGGGGATGGTCCCCACGCTGCCCACAACACCTACAGACCAAAGTCACCCAACGGGCACACTCCCCGTCAGCATGGGGTGGGCATTTTTATATCATTTTATATAATTTCCTGTCAACCCTGTTTGCATCAGAACCTTACAGTATTCCATTTTAATGTCCGTATAAACAGCATTGGTGTGAGATAATCATTTATCATCCAACAAGCCAAAAAACATCCACACTTGAAACAATGTGTGGGCTTCTTTTGTTAGAGTATTTATTTTCATAACAAGTTTGCTGAGGAACTATAAGATTAAGTCAGTGTCTAAAATTTGATGGATTGTTTAAAAATACAACATGGCAGTAGTTCTTTATGTTGTCTAAAGATAGAAATAAACCGAGTTCATTTTCTATCCAAGAGATGTTTTCCTTACAAACATCTCATTAAGTAGCTTATTCTAAAACTTAAATTTATATATTTAAAATATATCATGGGAAATAGTTGGGAAAATAAATAATAGTGTGTGTTTCTAAATGAGAAACTCATTCAAAAGCTTCCGAACATTCAGACTCAACCACACCTTCCTTTGGAGGCTGAGAAGGGAGCTGGGTCCTTTCTTCTGTTTTTTTTTGGAAGAGCCTGAGGTTTCTCCCCAGCTCGGGTCTCAGTGAATGCGTCGGCCAGGCCCCACTCCCGGAGTCCAGGGAGCTGCCCTTGGAGAGCCAGGCAGGGAGACGCAGCTCTCCCTCCCTCCTCCCTTCCTTGGCTGTCAGCCACAGCTGACCCACGGGTGTCAGGTACCAGGACTTGGGTCCCATGGAGACCCTGCCTGACACACCCAGCACATCTGTGGCATTCACATGGCTCGCAGCTAGGCTCCTGGTGTGGCTGTAGCCCTGGGGAAACAGCAGGCAAAACGCAGAAATATGCACATGTGCATCCTTATGCGCAGGTGTGCTCCATCCCTCACCAAACTACGCTCATTGGTCGCTCTGTTAACTGATATATAAAACTTAAAGACAAGGTAGAAGGAAAGAAAATAAAATTCAGTGAGACCTTAAAGTATATTTATTTCCAGGCTGGGCATTTAGCTCAACAGCACAGCGCCTGCGTGGCAAGCTCAAGGTCATGAGTTCGATTCCCGGTACTGGAAAAACAAAGAAACAAACAAACAAAAAAATATATTTATATTTAAAAATATATTTATGTTTAATGTAGCTGAAGTCACATATGTTATACAGGAACTTATTTTAAATCCTGTAAGTACTCATGGACATCTACTGGATGTACAGAATGTCTGCCTATTTTCAGAGATTTTGGCTGTTTCCAAGAAAATTTATTGGCAAACTCAGAACTTAACTAGTCCATGTATTTCAATTATAAAAAGTTTATTGTAAGCATCTTTTTTTGTTTATTTTGTTTGTTTGGTTTCTTTTTTTTTTTTTTTGGTACCAGGAATCAAACTCAGGACCTTGCACTTGCCAGGTAGGCGCCGTGCCACTCAGCTACATCCCTGGCTGGAAGCATCTTAATATTGGTATATTGTCTTATCTTAAACATGCTACTTTACATTACATAACCTGATGCAAGTCATTTGAGATATTCTTATTTTTACTTAAAAATGCTCTCCCAGCATTCAGGAGGCTGAGGCAAGAGGATTGCAAGTTTGAGGCCAACCTGGACTACATAGCAAGACCCTGTCACACAAAAAAGTGCCACAAACTAACTTCTGAAAGAGTTAAATCTTTATAAGTACATATTAAATCATGAAAAATTATGAACAAAATATGACCCAAATTGCATTTTTTGGTGAAAATAAGTGAAAAATGACTGTTTCAGGGAGAATAAGGCTAAGTAAATATAAAAAGTGATCACCACCAGTTTATATTTCCTATAGATAATGAGAAGATTGTGGCCCACACTTAGTCTGTCTTATCATTTTGCAGATTTCTAGCTATGCATGTGTCTCAAACAGTCTGAAATGTCCAATGCAAGCTCAGCAAAAATACGTAATTTATCATCTCCCATTAAAGCCACCCAGTAACCCAGCAGTCACACTCTGTAACCAAGGGTATCGCGGTTGTTACTGAGGCTACATGGAGATTTATTTATTCCTATCTTAAGCATCTGTCACACAGCAGCGTGCCGCTGTGCTGGACCTGCTTTTGTCCTCTTCTCTCTGCCAGGAGCCAGAGCAGTGGCAGAAATGGTGGCTGGTGTGTTTCATCTTAAATTGTTGCTTTGGAGTCTGGGGCAAGAGAAGCAGCTAAATTTAACTGCTATCAGGTATTAAGTCAGTTTTTTATGTAACAAATAAATGATGCCAGTGTCTCATTTCTGCTTAATTCAACAATACAGTTAAAAACAGGTTTGTTGGCCAGGGATATAGCTCAGTGGCATAAGCGCCTGCCTGGCAAACGCAAGGTCCTGAGTTCGATCCCCGGTACCACAAAAACAAAGCAGGTTTCTCTTTGCTCTGATTTCTATTCTGTCTTATAGAAGCTTGGGGAAAAATATTGGATTGCTGACCAATATTTTCTAATTTATTTTTACTCTTAGAACATAAAGGGGAGAATAAGCAGTGTTTCTGGAGCATGCAGGATTCTAACTAAGGAATTTTGATGTCTAAAATAGACCTGTTACTGAAGTCTGATGATATGAGATGTAATATAGTGTGTTTTTCTCTTATAATGCCGCGTTTGCACTCTGTAACTGCACTTTGAAGTCTGAAGAGCCATTTTGGTATGCAGTTTCTATTAAAGATGCTATGGAACATAAAGTCACATTGCATGCAGTTTAATGTAATTTATTTGACGATGCATTTTACCTGATTACTGAATTGTATCAATTTGTTTATGTTCAATATCAGCTTTGGTAATTGTGTACCTTAAGATATTGAAGGAGAATATAGATAATTTATAAGATATTGTTAATTTTTATTTATTTTTGTTGGGAACTGGCAAAAAAATACAATTGTGAAATAAAAAGGCATTAAACATCATGCATAAAAATCTGCACTGACAATATAGTCTCTTTTGTTCTCTTTTTAAGAAAATTTTCGCTCCATCTGGCAACTACAATACCTTAAAGGGCGTAGAAGCAGTGGCAGAACTGTAATGTGCATTAGCACAAAGACATAAAGGTCCTACCTTGGAAAAGCACGATATAAAAGCATCACGTTTTGTGGCCTGACATACTGATGAATGTCTGAAGTCGCATTATTTATTAAATTCTAGATGCGAGGTTCTTTTAGATAATGTATATAGGAGTAGTTTCCAAAGACCGGATAGTGTACTGAAAGGTGGATTTTGAAGAAATGCATCTGCCAGAACCATGACTCCCTCAGTGTCAGCCATGAGCTTTGGCCTTCCTCGGCTTTTAGGGCAGAGACCCTGATCCCCAAGCCTCCGTAACAGCAGCGGCAGCTTCCCCGGTGTGCTGCTTCTGCAGCTAGAGTCCTTTTCCTCTTGGCCCTGTTGCTGCTAAGTATTCCTCTCCCCCAGAGCCTCCCATCAGCCCAGTCCACACAGCCCTTGTGCCTCTCTTAGCCAGGCTCACGTAGGGCAGGAGCCCTGGTGGTGAACATGTCACAGGGAGCTTGAGGGATTGGTGGCTGCAGGCGAGACCCCAATCCCACTACACTCCAAGCTGTCAGTCTCAGACTCAGTCAACATTTTCTTGGGAGAAGCAGGAATTCTCATAAAATAGGATGCTTGGATTCTATCCCACAGAACCGTCAGACCAATTCAGTTACAATGCTGAGAACCTGGTGGTGCAGGTAAAGACTAAAATGCTTTTTCCCCTGGCTGCCAGGGTACTCTGCTCACTGAGCTTTGCACTGCACATCCGTCAACACTGAACACCCAGAGCGCACCTTGCAGAAGTTCTCTTTGAGCCACTCCCGACTCCCCTGAACGCAGCCCAGGTCTTTACTTGGCATCTGTGTAATGCCTATGCCCAGCTGAGATATTTCCGCTGAGTTCCAGTTGTCAAAATCCTCTTTCCCGCCACCATCCCCACTCAGATAGTCACAAGTATCCAGCGGGAATGTGCTCAGCAGCTGACTTCCCCCATGAGAGTGTGTCTCAATGTTTCCATCTCAACTAAATTCAACTCCATCTTTCTTGTGTGTCAAGCCCCAAACCTGTTCTTGCCCTCTGGGAAGTGCCGAGTGAGTCATCTTCAGGGCATTTCAGAAAGCAATGACCCTCAACTTTTCATGGTGATGGCAGAGATGGTGGTTTTGAGATTAGGCACAAGGGAAAAACTCCAAGAAAACACAATGTCACAGTTCTCAAAAGATAAGATTACAGGCACTAAATTTGATCAATTCTAGACTATATTTTTCTCCAAGTGACCATGAAACACTATAAAAATAAAACATTTCATTAAATTGTAATATGAATTCATTAAAAGGAGACATAAAACACAGATCTCTTAGAAGCTCACAACGTGGAATTTTCTCGAAGATTTTGACATTGGGAAAGAACTGGATGTCTTGTGAATATCTGAGTGGGGATGGTCAGCAGATTATGATAACTACCCAGCATACAAAGCCAAATCAAAGTGTGATCAGAAATTCAGGCGGATATTTAAATTAATATACTTTTATTACAGCAAAAGACATATATGGCAATATGAATCCCCCTCAAAATACTCTCCCTCACGTCAGACACATGCATCACATTGTTCTTGTCACTTTCTGAAGCAGTTCTGGAGGTCATTGGTGAGCCTCTTTATGATGTGTGATAAAAAATACATTGCATGTTGCTGCTGAGTGCCAACCAGTGGAAACTCAGGCTTGCACAAACACTGCAGCATGCTCTTATCTCTTATTCACTGGCTCTGGCACCATACGACCCCTGCTTCTTTCCCAAAGTCAAAATCATCAAGAAAATTCAACATTGTGAGGTGACCCAGGACATTACGGCAGCCGCAATGGCACAACAAAAGACACTCACGAAAGAGGACTTGCAGAGCTCCTTCAGAAAGTGGAAAAATGATGGGATAAGTGTGTTTGAAGTGAGGAAGAGGCTTTTGAGGGAAATGATTGGCAACTGTGTCTCTTTCTCTATAATAATGTTTTCGAAATTGAACACATACCTTAGTGTTTGATGAACTTTTACACTACATTGCTGCATTCTACTTACCTGATTTTCAGAGGACTATTTGGGAAAATATTCCACAGATCTCATAGAAGACTGCAGTGCAATATACGTACTAAGAAAATAGCTACAGCTTAAGTTGGCTTCATGCAGATTTCATGAGTGGATCCATCACATGCCAAGCAAATGGAAGTCCTAGGACTGGACAATAGTTCATGATAATAAAATCAGTAGAATAGTGATCTTGCTAATCAATCTATCAGAAAGGGTCCATGATTTTGTATTATTCTGTCAGCTTTATCACTTCTGTAGGGATAGTAGGTTTGGAATCAAGGAAATATATGTCACATTCCTCCCATCCATTTACTAGCTGGGCCCAACCCTGCTCGGCTTCCAAGATCAGACAGGATTGGGGGCATTTAATTAGGTCTGGAGATGAATGTCATGTTCCTAACCTTCAAGTTGCTGTCAAGAGATGTTCACATTCTTAAAAATATAATGAATAGTTTGTGAATCAGTCAGTCAGTATTGTTGAAAAATTTTTTATATCAAGTGATTTTCAAGAGCTGTGAAGTAAGCAAAAAGTGTAAAATATACTTAGAGGAGGAATTCAAAGAATAGTTTTTTTTCTTCCAAAAAATGAAATACTTTGGTAGTTAGGGTTTCTTCTTATTTTTGTTTTTTGCTTTTTTGGTGCTGGGGATGGAATCCAGGGTGCAGAGCATGACAGGCAAGTGCACTACTGCTGAACTATAACCCAGCCTCAGTTTCTGGATTTTTAAGGAAAAGACAATAGTTCTAGTTTTACCAAGAAGAAATTCATTGGAATTTTCTATGGAAGATTCAGTAGAATTAAAGTAAAAGCAAAAGAACAGGATAGCACCAGTGACTCAGGGGCAGCCTGCAGTGTCTAGGATGCATATGCTCTGGCCAGTTTTATTCCATGGCTGCCTATGTGCTAGCAAGATAGCATGTCATTGCCTCCATGGCGAC